TGTCCTGTTTGAAACAAGGGAGATTAGATCTTGATTGGCTTGACAAGTAATATGCATGACTGTTGATTGGTTAAGATGCCTTTCTTGCAAGTGACTAAAAATAAACTTGATTGTCACAATTTTGAAATGATTTAATTGGCTATTTAACACACATATAGGGTGCGATGGATAAATTGTCTTCTAAATTACACAAAAATGAACATAATACTGACATTTCATTTTAACAGATATATTTACCATAATTATGCAAAAATATCTTGAAATACTAAAGAGTAAATTTATTCAATAAAATTGCCACTGGCTTCAACCAGGGTCTCCAGACAACTTTGGTATCTACTGCAACTCATCTGGACGGTTTCCTTGTTTAAGTTGGTGAATGCAGCTATAATCCTTGCCTTCAGTTCATCTTTGGTGTTACAAAGAGTTTTGTTGGTCTCTTGGTCAACTGTGCCCTCTTGCCTTGTCTTGTCTTGTAACAGCATTCACCTGGGGTGGGTTGAGCCGGCTCCAATTGAATTAACCGCATTGCGTGTCAAGTCCATCCACCCCCATTGATCGGCAACAGAATTGACAGCATGATCAAGCCATTCGCGTCAGACTCTGAAAACATGAGGACTGGACATGAGTTCCATGTCTGCTTTGACCGTTGCGAGCCATGTCTTGAGTTGACCACCTCGGTGCTTCCTCTAACCAGTGGGTGCGTTTGGTGCCACCAGTTTACGGATGAACTCATCACCAGGCTGCCGCAACATGTGACCGAACCACCGGAGTCTCCTGTTAAGCAGAGTTTCTTCCAGGCCCAGAATGTTGCATTTAGCACAGATGGACGAGTTGGGGATCTGGTCAGAGAGGCACACATGCAGGATATGGTGGAGACAGTAGTGATCAAAGACCTCAACTGTGCCCCACACGCAATAATCAAGGAGGTTGCAAGTCTGCAGAGTTAGGTGGCCAGATGTAAGGAGTGGTGTGGTCACAGAAATTGTCTAACAACCATGACTGAACTCTCCTGCTTGTGTGGCATGGTGCAAAGTCCTGTTGCCGGGCATAGAGTCTTCCATCAGCCACCCACTTGATCCAGGGCATCACTACCTCTTCAAGGCACTTGATGTAGGCCTCCATGTTATGTCTGAGGTTCTGTGAGAAGATGAATAGAGCCATAATATCGCCATCACTAGTGATCACTTCAAATGTCTTTGTAATCACAATTAGATTCATCCAGCTCTTTCTGAATCCTCTGTACTGTCCTCAGATTGGCATCCAAACATTCTGAAATGTTCATATTGGAGCTTCTGGTGTGAATGCCAAGAAGTATAGCATGTTGCTTCCAAATTTCTAGTGGAGTGAATTGCATCATGGTGCTCTTATATTATACAGGATGCAACAAAAATAACTCCACATATTTTAAAGGGTTTATCTGTGTGGTGCTAATGTACTTAGGCATGTGGCAATGGTGTTTTCATCAAGCTAATGTCTTATTTTTTTAGATAACATCAGTTACTATAATGGCTTGGACCATTATACATTTATCTTGAAATGACAGAATTAAAATGTGGGAGGTATTTCTACTGCAAACTGTATAATTCTTCCTTACTGCATAATGAAATCATTGGGTATGTATAAGCTTCAAAAAGATATAAAATAGGTTGGGTCTGGGCACTTAGACATAGTGTAATGATTAGAAAGGTTGTCTTGCTAGCTCAGTTATGACTGAGTTGTGAGTTCAATCCCCACTAGGCGTCCTACTCTTTCAACTTTATGCCACATGTAAGCTATGCTTAGAAAATCATAAAGGGTACTTCGAATTGGTGTAATTATTAGCAATCTTGTCTAGAATAGTTATGACTGGACAGTGATCCTCACTGAGTGCCCTATACTTTTGGCCTTGTGTCACATGCAAACTATGCTTAGAAAATCATGAAAAGCACCTCAACATGGTGTAATGGTTAGTAAGCTTGTCTCAGAAGATCAATTATGACTGGACAGTGAGTTCAATCCTCAATGGGTGACCCCACAATTTCAGCCTTGTGCCAGACATAAGCTACACTTAGAAAATCTCCATAAAATAGGTGGGTTCAGCTTAAATTTAGGTCGGCTAATGCACAAATATATATGGTATTAAAAAAAGAAAAATACTATTTTTTATATCAAAGTCTCGCGATACTTTCATTGATAGAAAGAATATTCAGCTTGTCATTTTTTTGCCCATTGTGTACAAGAACTCTTTGGTATCTTGCAGAATCTCTGAATATTCTTACAAAAAAAGAATGTCAAAAAATTATCCTACATTTCTTGCTTTATCCACCACCAATATATGATGTGTGTTGTGCATCCAGCATCAGTGTGGCATGATTTTGGCATTGCAGTATCTCAAACTTGTGTGATCAGGTGCCATCATTGCTTGGAGCTTCTCATTTGTCCCTAAGGAAATTCTTTTCTCCTTTAACTGATAATAATACTAAACAAAATGCATCTAGCTTATTCATTATATTTTGTTGTAAAAAAAGAATTGGCAAAATATATAAACCAATGGAAGGTGGATATATTGCAGTGATTTATCAAAATATGTGTGAGGGAACAAATAACTCTTTGCACATATAGATTACCTTTCTTCCTGTCTTGGTGAATCTATCCAACATTCAGTCAATCTTTCTCATAACATTACAATATGTCAATTTTATATATTCATGTGTGCATCTATGTGTGTACACATATATGCATATGAACATAGACTATTTATAAATACAGACAAACCTATGAGTTTTATTTTTGAATTATAAAACTGCTATAGTAACTACCATTAGTTATGATTATAATGTAAATACTCTGATGAGGGCAGAACAATTAAAATATTAATCAAAATAACAATAATAATATATACTGTACACCTGGCTTAGTTTACAATTGAAAGGCTGGCCACTGCTACCAAGCGGTCTCTTTGAGAATTAATACGACTTGTTCTGCAAAGCCTGCAGATTTTGAAATACATCAATGATGAATTGGAAGTTTTTTTCCTTCAATTTTTTTATTTTTTTAATTTTGCCTGCAGATTTTGCCTGCTACATCCAAAGTCTGTTTCTGTAGATGAGAGCTTTGTCTGTAAAAAATACCCTAAGTAATCAATAACAAATTGTTAGTTATTAACAAAGAACAGTACCCTTTAACTACAAATGACTGCATATATATATATATATATATATATATATATATATATATATATATATATATATATATATATATATAAGTAAACATTGAAACCAACACTTTTAGGCGACAGGCTGTTTCATGCTAGACACAATCACAGCCTGATGATTGCGTCTAGTATGAAACAGCCTGTCACCTCTAAATGTTGACTTCAATGTTCACTTTTATATTTACACATGCTCTATCTCTGATATTGAGCACTTTATCCCATAAATATAGCACACCTTAAGAGTATATTTCTATGTGTGTGTGTGTGTGTGTGTGTGTGTGTGTGTGTAGAATGGTCTTTTTCATTAACAGAAGAGTTCACTTCATAAATATAGCCAAATTTTTCATCTCTATGCAGTGGACTTCTCTGGTGATGGAATTGAAATAACTCAACATCTTTATACGTGAAATATTGTGATAAAAAACTCTTACAATTACCTCTGTAAAGAAATAATCTTTTGAAGATAAGTTTAATATAGATTTGCATTGTAAACAGTAAAGTTGTTTTCATTTATAATATGAGGGCAAGGATCTTCATTTACTTTTAGTTTAATTTAATATTTGGAAAAAAAAACAATTGAATGCAGAGAAAGATAACTTTTTGACATTATTTCAGTAAAATGCAATTAGAAAATTATTTAAGTTAGCCTTCAGTTCTTGATAGCATAGAAGGTTCATTCTTTGAACTATAAATGTAGATCTTAGCAGCTTTAAGATAGGTCTTTTTTCATTTTTTATTACGTCTAGCGATTTTTCTCTTTTCATTTTGGAAGTATCAATTCTCCTGTACTTTGGAACAATTAGCATACCATACTGAGTATTGATTTCTGTACATGAGTGTGGATAAGAAAGAAGACAGTAATAGAATTATTCATTTCACTCTTCAAAAAAGATAACAATGACATTAGGCCATTTTTAGAGACTAATGGAGTTATTCACAAAATATTCACAGTATTGATGGACAGGATAGTTTACATATATATACATAAATTGTAAGACTACCAAATACCAAATAACAAACCACATCACTTGATGACTAGCAACAGCAACAACAACTAAAACGGATAGCACATGTAACTTGAAAAGAAAATAATACTTCCTAAGATCAAATGGGGAAAAAAGGCTTTCAACAAGTAAAGCCAGAGGATCTTGGCAAAGATCATCCTTTCTTTGAACATTGGGGACTGGTGCTACAGAATCACAAACAAAAAAAACTATACTAAATAACAGAAACTACATCACTTGAGGACTACCAACAGTAGCAACAACTAAAATGAATAGCACATGTAAACTGAAGAGACAATAATTACATAAGATGTTAACATTCCACACCACATCAAATAGAAGATTCAGAAGTGTTGTGGAGTTATTTTGCAGTGAAGGCTTGTATTTGTACTAAATCAGTCCTAAATAGTTTGACGTACAAAACGTTAGGAACTTGATGTAATAGGTATTACGCAGAGTAATCTTATTATGGTCGCTGACTACTTTCGTATTCGACTAACTCTCCCTCATTTCTCTTACTACTCCTACTTAGGTGGGAGAGTCTGTTAACTATAGAATATGTGTGTTTCATCATAACAAGAAGCAAACTCACATCAATACTGGAAAGGGCGATAACAGCTACCGAACTTGAGAAAACTGTTTTTCTTAAGTGTTTTAGGAAAAAGATTTTATAAATTTCAATTGATAAAAGTATTGGCTGTTTGGTCAGTATATATCAAATATTTCCTTATAGGGAAATGGATAATATTACTATTACATGTTATTCCTTTGATGTGGCAATAGTTTTATGAATCTTTAAGGCTTACAGCCATTTCACTTTGAAACACCAGTCCCCATATGATCACCAAAGTAAAGCAATGGTCAGTACTTAGATGGGTGACCATTTGGGAATACCAGGCACTGTAAGCTTTGATGTGCAGGTGGTTAATAGATAATGGCACAGAATTGCTAATTAGAAAGTTGAGTTCCAATTCCCATTACGTTCGCTATATTCACTTATGCTCAAACACACTTGAGAACAGTATGAAAAAAATCTTACAATCTGAAAATATTTTCTGGCTGAAAAGGATAGATGAGCTGTAAAAAACATATGAATGAATCTCTATTGGATTTCCAAACTTAAAATGACAGGTTACTCAAACTCCAAGAAACATGACAAGTCATATGAAAGCTGTAAGTCAAATGAAAATTGAATTGCCACAATGTTTGGAAGCCTCACAATTTAACACAAAAATATTTAAATGAACCATATTTCCATTTCCATCTGCAATTTTGATGCTCAAATGCAACAAAAGTGGCTCGTTATTTAAAATAGCAATCACAAGAGATGAAAAATGGACTATCTACAATAATGTGCAGTGAAAAAGTTCCTGAGGAAAATGAAATAAGTCATTTGATCTTTCTCTTAATGGCAGTATGCGTCTTCCACTGAAAGAAAGGTGATGATGTGTACCTAGTGGAATTGGAAGGATATTACATCCTAATTCTGCTAAATCAGACATTGAATTGAGAAACGTACTGTTACCACTTGGACAGATAAAAGGTAGCAGTTGATAAAAGCGTCTAGAATTGGTCAATCCGAGGGGTGTTGTCTTCATTCAGGAGAACACCAGACCTCATATCTCTTTGCAGACCTTAGTAGAAACTGGTACAGCTTGGCTGGAATGTATTGCATTCCGTGTCGAAACTCACTCCAGTTCTTCAAACCCCAAAGGTAGTGGGAGAAAAGTCTTTAGAAGAATGCATGTTAACATCATGGCTTAGAATTCCATTATGTGCGGACTAGTCTATTTAAGGAATCTAAGTGTGTCAGCTTTTCAAAATTCATAAATTTCTCTGCCAACCACAAAGCATTTTGATCATATATCCAAAACTTAGAGAAAGGCAATCCACCATTGTCAGAATTTCACATACACAGAGTATCCTGGGCAATCGCTCACTATCCAGGACTAGTCTCTGCATTCTGTAACAGATGTCCTGCTACATCTACAGTGCTCATCTGACCTTGTACTTTCAAATTAATGAGAAGAACTTCAATTCTATGTAAGCATGTAAAAACCACTAGTTCAAAAAGATGCCAAGTTCTGGGAGGTTAATATCATGAAGCTGCTTCAGAGATAGCAAAAGATAGTTGAACAAAATTTACCATATATAGTTTAATAGGTCTATGTAAAAGTATCTAGATATTGTCTTTGAAATTCATTTAAGAAACACTTTGATTCCAACCCAATATATAGTAGACTCTCTTACAATTTTAATATATTAGTGCCTGACGGTTTGTTTTTAGATTGAAACCACCAGGATACACATACATATGAGCTGATTAGTTTCAGTAGGAGCAACAAATAAAATAGGTAGCACATTTAACTTTAAAAAGTAAATAATGACATTATCAAGGGCAGACATTCCAACTCCAAACAAAAAATAAGGAAGGAAGAGCCCCCTCCCCGTATCAATTCTTGAAAGAGCAATAATATTTTTGAACTTGAGAAGTCTATCATCCTAAAATATTGTTTTGATAGAAAGATTTTATGAATTTCAACTGACAGGAAGTCTAAATGATCATTCAATGAATGCTGAATGTTTCCTTATAAGGAATAATAATAATAATAGTGATAAAGGCTTGTGTAAAACCAGAGACACTTTTTGAAGGAGCTGATAACAGTGCACAAAAAAATCACCAAACGCAAAGCAAAGCAAAGCAAAGCAAAGCAAGAGAGTCCAGTTTACCCTGTTATTTAATCTAGACCTGGTTGATCCATACCTTTCCAAAGGTATTTATCCAAAAATTAAATGAAAGAAACTCAGCTAGAATTTGAACTAAGAAATTTCTCTTTGTGAGCCACTGTTCAATACACCACCTGCACACACACACATATATGTGTGTGTGTGCAAATATATAGAAAAATAGGAAAGAACACGTTAGATAAATAATAAGAAATTCTTTAGTATTTTTGTTTTTTTTTTTATATATATATATATATATATATATATATATATATATATATATATATATATATATATATATACTTTAAGTCAAATTACAGGCGGCCAGTAATCAACCACAACTTCCAGTTTCAAGTACTTTCCCACAAACATCAGGTGGTTGGTAGTTGTAGTTTGTAAGAAACCTTATACCAACAGGCAAATCCAAGATGGTGGGCCAAGCAAACGGGCAAACATATATATATATATATATATATATATATATATATATATATATATATATATATGAATAATGTATGCATGTGTGTGTATATGTTAACATGAAATAAAAAATAATCTTTATATTGTAGTGAGTTTTAGCCTCAATGAAAATTCCACATTTGTGACCTTGTGTTAGAAGTATGGGTGCACATTCTGCCATAAGTGGGACACTGACCCCTCTTCTCTTTAGAGTTTGGTTGGAGATTTTCCAGAACTTCCAGAATCCAGTTTGTTTGCTTTCAACCTTGGCTTGGGCTACTTGTGCTTAGTTTCACTTTGCATTTTCTAGAAGTTTCTTGCAGTGATTACGAACAGTTTTGAATGTGGCAAGTGTGCAACAACACCACTCCCTGACATTGTAGTAGTGGTTGCACTGAGCTATGACGATATTCAGTCACCCCCCACCCCCACGAGTGTAGCCTCCTTCGGGTTCCTCCCGTCCGTAGGAAGAGAGTTCAACCGAACAGTCGCTCAGAGCCAGCGATAAACCATGGCTGGCTGGCTGTTTGGTTTTTGTTGGAATTTTTTTCGGTGGTATAAAACCCACCATTCCAAAAAGGATCCATTCCGAGACAAGGGCAGCAGTTTTGGAGGCAGTATGTTTGAAAAAGGATGAGAATGGAGCTTCCATCATGTAAGATCTGAAGGTGTCTCCGTCTGCTTTTGTGTACCGAAAATTGTTCTATGGAACGACATATTTGGGTAGGGAGCTCTGTTTAATAATCTTAGTAATTGATAGATCCGCAAGACGTAATAAATAATGACATAGAAATCGAGGAAAAGCAGAGAAAATTCAAAGACTGTCAGAAATATTGGAAATGAATGCCAGATTTATTGGCAAGGGGATAAATAAGAACATTATTGAATCGGGTGGAAAACAACCAACAAAGGAAAGCGTTTCCTCTTGAAGAAGGATATTGATATATTCTAAAGTAAATAGTATGTACTATTTCTTAATCTCGGAAATTGTTCATTGCTTCAGTATTTTACATTATTTACATTATTTCGACGATTGTCCTCATCTTTGTCGCCATATTTATCACAACGTTTCAGCCGTTATATATATAGGAATATAAAGGAGAGACAGGCCGCCCCCTCAAGGTAAGGCTTCAAGAACACCAGAAAGCTGTAACACGAGGGGAAGTAGAAAATCAGGCGTGGCTGACCACATATGGAGAGAGAAGGGAGATCATCACCCTCTGTGGGATCATGTTGAGATCATAGACAAGGAACACCATTGGAAAATTCGTAAACTTAAGAAATCAGTACATATGCTAGGCCACAAAAATCTCCTGAACCGACCAAGCATAGAAATAAATACAATATGGGAACCAGTAATAAGGAGTGCCAGAGAAAAGCAATGATAAAAACAAAGTTGCAATATGAGCTCTGGTAAAAACATGAAATGATGACAGCAAAATTGCAATATGAGCACTGGTAAAAATGGTTGCTGAAGACATTAGATTTATAATACCCAGAAATTCATACCCAGATGTCCTCAAGCACAGTGGATAAAGGCGTTGGTTAGATCCAGTGACAGGACCCAAAGAATGTGAGTTCAATACCCGGTGAAGGCAGTGGAGAACTTTCAGAGGGAGATTAGCAGAAGATAACTGATAACTGACAACCATCAAACATGGCACGTGGAACTAGAACAGTCGACCCCAGTGAGCGAAATAAAGGGTTCAGTTCGAAATTCCAACCACCTGAAGAAGGCCGGAGCGTACAACGACCGAAACGTTGTGATAAATATGGCGACAAAGATGAGGACAATAGTCCAAATAATGTACATAATACTTCATCTTAGAAATATAGACAGATTCAGTATTTTAGTTTATATATCTTCTATCATCTAAATAAATAAACGACAAATTCTATTTGTCTATCCATGTGTCTGAAACCCTCTAACTCAGGCCACACTTGCTCTACATAGATATATTAAGAAGTTTTGTATCAGGATGGCCCCGGGATTGAAAATCTGTCCTTCAATTGGTGCTTCACCCTCGAGCATTGGGATTTGTGTCCGGATGAGGAGGAAACATTCAAAAATTCAAATTTTAAAATCACTGTGAAAAAAATTAGTTATTTATTTTGAGTTTGAAGTGACACAAAAACATTGTGAATTTAATTTTGTTTGTGTTTTTAATTCAGTTTAAAATATCTCCAAAACTTTGAGAATTGAGGAAAAATTTATTTCTTCAAAATGCCAAGGAATCAGAATTAAAGTGAGAGGTTCTGTGACGTAAGGTTTTGCACTTCCACAGAGTTTGTGATTTGAAGAACTCAGATTTCGGCCTGAATTGGAATTTTGGCCCAAATCGATCTTTTTGCCGGAATCAGACATATAGCCCGAACCAGACTTAAAATAAGGGTTTGAAGTACCGTGGAATCAATTGAGGAATTCAAAGTTATTTCTTCAAGATTATCATTGTTGTTTTCTAAGTTGGACCATATGTCCTTTTAGCTGTGGCGGCGGAGGCTCAATTAGCCCTCTGCAGTAGCTTGCTGAAAACTCCGCACAAAGAGGCTGCTTTTCAGGTAATGTATACAAATATATTAAAACAATGAGTGGTGGAATAACATGGATAAGCAAAAAAAAAAAAAAAAAAGGAAAAAGAAAAAAAAAAAGAATTAAATTAAAAAAATAAAAATGCTTCCCTCTGTAAACAGAAGGAAGGGTTGCTGAGTTTAGATGTCATC